ATATTACAGGTTTTTTCCTAGAAGCTTTTAATTTTTGCGCGTTTTATTACTACTCGGTGAAAGGGAATTAGCTTTCTTCTACTGAAGTTTCAGCTATGAAATTGGCTTTAATAAACTATGTAATTATTTCTTCTGCAGGGAAAATATTTTAAATTGAATGTTTCTTTTATAAGGGTGGAGGGTTTTTTTAAATCATAAAATTGTAATATTTCTGTTTTGCTTTATGGCATTTGAAATGTTTTGAATGTTCAGAATTGAGTGTAACCAAGCAACAGTTTTTGCTCTTTGTAAGCACCCATGAGCTGTAAGATGCTACAAAAATGTTCAAGTCCTGGGCTGGAAAAGGCCCACGCGTAATGTTTTCCCCATTCTGTGTCATCTAAAGAAAGAAGTACCAAAATTTCTCCTAAAGAACAAGTAACAGATGTCTTTCATTAGTAATTTAATTTCTTCTCTTAATAAAACTCAGTTGTGTGAAAAGCATAATATATTTTACTCCAGCTCTACCCTGTTTGGTGCCACAGGAGTGCAGAACGAGTTCCTGGCGGTGGAACAGGCTGAGGGGAGTCCCAGGAGGGTGTGAGCAGAGGGAAAAGCATCAGAGCTAGAGACCACACTGACAGTATTCACAAGAGCTTGTGACCACCATCTTTGCATATTTATTAAATAAAGAAAAGCCAGGTATTTACCGTGGTTCCTGCAACACATAATGTCAGAATAACACAGAAAGGGAAATGATTGAAGGTCTTTGATAGGTAGGCAGCAGCATCTGTCCTCTTGCATACATCAAACACGGTTTAATAACTTCCTATTTACTGCTTCATGGCAGAGGCCCAGTAAATAAACAACCTGACTGAATTAGTCTATTTTTCTACCTCTGTCCTGTATAACAAACCTCTTGAACCACACTTAATGTGAACAGCAAATTTCGCATTGCACGTGGAGGTCTCTCAGCACAGATTAAATTAGTTATAATAAAACAATTAAAATCTATTTGCCCACAGACAGGAGGAAATGAAGGACCTGGGTGAACCATAGAAAGGTAAAGGGTAGGTTGTCAGGACACCAGGAGAGTAAACAGCAGAGCTGTGATTCTCAGGAGCAAAGCAGGGTCAAACTTACTGTGAGATAACTGCACGGGAGATAATAAATCAGGGGTCCATGTTGCACACCAGATGGCTGTGCCATGCAGGAAGGCACAGTGGATCATGTAACTGTGGTTGTTTCTAAGGATTACTGATTCAGCCTGACTTCACAGGGATATCCTAACAAATAAAATCTTTATGGCCTCTTCCGCTGGTGAACATTTTCATCTACTGTTTAAAGACAGGACCACATGTCTTAGCATTTGCATTACCCCTGATACAAATTAATTTAAGTTCACCCAGTTTTAGCTGGTAAAGACTTTTTGATTATCTAGTACTGTAAAGTTGCTTCACAGCATTTATTGTAGATACTCCAATGGACAGACAGGCCATTGTTCCAAGCTTTAGCTTGGCTGAATCTCACAAGTGTTCCAGGCACAGAGGCAAACACGCTTAAAAACTCCTAAACCTATTAAGTTGTCTTTCAAAATTGTCCAGGCAACAGAATTTATTTATAAAACTCTGCAATCATTGATTCAAAACAAGGTTTTCTTGTTCTGCTTTTCTGCTTTGTCCTCTTTGAACAATTTTCTTTGGAATGTTTTCGTTGTGCTTAGGAGTCAGAGATTTCCTGGGGCTTCTAATAAAGGCATTTGATTTCCACTCTCCACATACTTTTACAAGTCCAAGGATTTTGAGGTTTGACATTAACTTAAGAGATCTGGAGATAATCAGCCATGGGCATGAAAAGCCTGAGTTATGCAAATTATTTGTAAAATGTATAGAAAGCAAAAGAAATATTCCTTTAAATGCAGTTGGTGTGGGACAGAGGCTTTGTCTCAGCACAGAATATCTGTGTGCTCCACTTAAAATTTATGACTTTGATTGAAACCTGTAAAGGGGTGATCTGTAAAGTATTCCTGCTATCCTACACTTCCCAACAGGTTTATTACCATTCGTTTATAAAATGAACAGTCTAACGAGCAGTGGTTTAGATCACAGCTATCAAAGTCTGGTCATTTGTCAAGATTAGTTTCCTGTTGTGAGATTGCCTTGTGCAAAAGGAGTGCATAACCTTGAGTTCCTCTTGGGAAGCTAAAAAAATATCTATAAATGCTTTATAAGATAGATGTAATGAAGATTTTATAATCTCAGAATTCAATCCAACAAGGCCCTCTGTGTGTGTGTAGTGCATGTTATAGTGCAGAGAATACCTGTGTACAGAGGAGGGAATTTCTCGACAGTGGGCAAATTCTAGGTACGAAGTCCACGCAGTATTGTCAGGGCAGTTTGATGTTCATTTGAATGAGTTAATACTACACTGATGTCAGTGTAATTCGTTACAGCTAAAAGGCTGCCTTGGGAAGAAGCACTGCTGCAAAAGCACCAGGTTTCTGGGGATAGTCAATTGCTAGTAAATAACACAAAATGTTTTTTGTTCATGTTAGACATTTTTATTTTGAAGAAAAATTTAAAACCCCAAACAATCAGTAAGGCAATGTGACAGTGAAGGTGCTGCTCAGGGAAACTCCATAGGACAAGAAGGTTTTTCTCATGTCCCAGGTAGAGGGAAGGTATGGGGTATTTATGCTTTCCTGGGCTTTCCTCCTTGAAATTATCTGTAAATGGTGTTTACAACTGTGTTTTCCCTGTCACTGGATGGTGGCACATTGTGTGGTTTACTTGTGAGAAAACCAGAGGCAGCCGCAGTCCTACCTGGGGCGATCGCAGCCCTACCTGAGCGATCGCAGCCCCGCCAGGGCCAAGCCCCCCCTCCCCGCTCTGCCGCACCCGCATCACCCCTCTGCTCCCGCGGCATCGCCGCCCCCCGGCGCAGACCCCCCGGGAAGGCTCCCCGTTCTCCCCTGGCTGGGGTGGGAAGGTGGGCACCTGCCCGCGGCGATGGCCGGCGGGACGGGGTCCTGCAGTCCGTTTTTAAACGTTTCCTAGCCCAGCAGCGCTGACGGGACACGCGAACGGCTGCGGGGCCCGAGGGCGGCCGGAGCCCCCGGTCCCGGTCCGAACGGGGCATCCGCACGTCGGGGCCGCCCCGACCCTCCGGCAGCGTCCCAGCGCCGGCGGGGCGGGCGAGCGTGGGTGCGGGAGGACGGTGCCCTCGCACCAGCCCTGCCGGTCCTGGCGTTTCCAGGTATGCCCCGTCCTAAGGACGCCCCTGGGACGGAGGGGCCAGGCTTGGTTAAATGAGTCAAATAGGTTTAAGCAGTTAAATAGAAACAACTTTTTTTCAGCGCTCCTTTTTTTTTGCCCTTTGTGTGTTAATCCTTTCAGATATGTTATTGTGTAGAGATAAAAATATTTTCTTCTTAGGAATTTGCTGGCTAAAGCATTGTAAGTAAAACCTTGTGGACAAAGCCAGCCGAGTGTATGAAATAAGCCGGCCCGTTCGTGGCAGTGCCCGAGGGTCCTGTGTGGCATCAGTTTCCTTTTGATCGAGTTAATTCATTTCATACCCCCAAAACAAACCACTCTGTCCACCTTGCACAGCTGTTACCTTGAGGTTGTGGTTGTACAAAGGTGTGCACTGAGCCAGCCAGGCTCCCAGTGCAGTCGCTCCTTGGTACAGCTGGGGAACCCCCCAGTTCCCGGCTCTCAGATGTTCGCTGAATGCTGTGAGCAACCACACTGACATTTGCTTTTCCCTCCTGCCCACTCTGACTCCAGTCCTTTGTTGAGGGCTTGTGACTGCCATTTTCCTGCACTTCTCAGCTCAGACAAAATGGAGGCTCTGGAGGAATGAGTAACTCCTACAGTCTCTGTCTTCTAAAATCAGAGAAAATTGCCTTTTTTGTAAAAAATTGTAATTTTGATGATGAAAAAGAAAGATCAGTGGACCCTGCACTAAAAGGCAGAATATAGTTTTTTTCCTGGGAACACACAAGTGCAGTTGTGTTCGTTTCCTAGCTGAAATGTAAATGTTCACACACCTTGCGCTGTGATGTATTGCCTTAAAAGACACTGAATTTCAAATCATCAGCCCACTGTGTGACATAGGGACGTAACTTAGCGATTTGTCTTTATTTGAGGCAGCCCTCTTCTGAAAAGCTCACTTAGGAGATTCCCAGCTGACATTAGAGAAGCAAAATAAAATTAATCTAAATAATTCTAACTTTATCTTAGAAAATTAATGATGGATGAAAGAGGAGGTTTATAGAGGTTTAATAAGAACTAGTCTGGATACAGTGTGTGTTCTAGAGTCTGTGATTATAGTGGTAATTTAGCAGATTGTATCACTGCTTATCTCTGCCAAAGGATGTTTCACACCATTTAAAATGCACAGTATTCCCTTCAGAGACAGGTTGTTCTGGAATAACTCAACATCCGAAGAAAAGGCTTCTTATTGCAGTCCTCTCTTTATCGATTGCATGTGTGCAGTCGCATGTGTGTGCATCGGCTTTGCCTCAGCCAGAGCACTGAGTTTTCCTGCTCATTTCTGTGTTCGTTTATCAGTGTCCTCAGAGACAGACAATACCAAAAATGGAAAGCCATGAAATCTGTTCAGAAAAGGGTTTAAGTGCTGAAACCAGAGAGCCTGCATAAAACAAAGCATGTGCTGGTCTTTTCTCTAAAAGGTAAATTAAAATACATTTGGATTTGGGCAAGTTATCCAACTCTGAGAGCTCCCTTTTGTTTCTCATTTTGAAGAGGAAAAAAACATTGCGATAAGGACAGATCTTAGTGGGCTTTATCCAGCAAAGGCGATTTGGGGAATCTCAAAACCAAAGGGATTGAGATTTGAATAAATTGCATGCCTGTGATGTTTCCAAGCCTAAGGACACGAGTCTCACAGTGTGCAGGAGCACGAACCAGGCTGATCTGTGCAGGTTTTGCTGGATTTAGATCCACGCAGGGTATGATCTGACACTCCTTTTGACTGTGGTACCTCTTCTTGCAGGCTCTTTGCCGCCAAGTGCAGCGGCTGCATGGAGAAGATCGCCCCGACAGAGTTTGTGATGCGAGCCCTGGAGTGTGTGTATCACCTGAGCTGCTTCTGCTGCTGTGTGTGCGAGCGCCAGCTGAGGAAAGGGGATGAGTTTGTCCTCAAGGAAGGGCAGCTGCTCTGCAAAAGTGACTATGAGAAAGAGAAGGACTTGTTGAGCTCGGTCAGCCCAGACGACTCAGACTCAGGTGAGCTTTTCCCCCACCTACCCTGACTGGAAAAGCTGCGTTAGTTTGAGCAGCTTTCTTATAGGGAATTACATCCATTTTCACATCCACTCTGTCTGTATGCACATGCCACCTATGCAAATTCACAGGCACAGCTGAAAACATCCTTACTTGCAGTCTGCTCTCCCTGACCTGATTCCCTTCCTTAACTTGCTGCTTAGTAAAGGACAAAATCCTTTTGTTTTCATCAAAGTATTTTTCTGCAAGATCATAAAACATGAATCAGACTGACTTCAGCTACCCGAGGTCTCACTCAAGTGAGTCCTCAGTATGCTGTTCTCCACAGACATTCTTCCATCCATTAACGTATTTTCAGGGGTTCTTCTGCACGTACACTTCCAGCACTGAGCTAGGGAAGTGGGCACAGCGGTAATACGATTCTCAAGAGGGTTCTCTCTGCCAAATCACAAATGGTACCTTTAAGAAAAATTACAAGTACAACACAGAAGTACTGAAGAGAGTCTGAAAGAAACCGAGATGTTGGTTTGTGCCATCATAATAGCACACTTGTTTCCTAAGAAAACGTGTAAGAAAATCAATAGTTACCATTCCATTAAATGTACGAATGACATGAATACGTACCTCTGGTTTATGGGAAAATGTGTTATTCCATTTTAGCTAAGAGCAGAAATTATCCTTAGTCTCTAATCTGAGAACCATATTGCCCACATGGCTGAAATTTGTATTTCTGTGTCAGGTATGGCACAGGCCAAAGGTCTCTGCAGCTTCAGCAATGCATGCAACCGGGATCATTCTTGGAGCAGTTATGGTTATTATTATAGCAATAATTATATTATTATTATGTGTCAGTTATTGCCATACTGTGTTTGCAGGACCTTGAGTCTCTGCTGGGTAAATCTCACATCACAGAGTTTCAGCTCTTGGTGAACGTGCCCGAGGCACGTGAGTTTCCTCCTCACCCATCACCGCGTTGTTCCACCCGCCAGCTCCAGCATCCTGCTGGGCACCTACCCCTTGTCCAGCCGAACCCCCTTAAGCAGCTGGAGCCAGACCATCCTTGGCTGGGGTTGGGCACAGACATCCTCCCATAGATGCCAGCATTGGCAGCTGTTTGACATGAGCTTTGGGCAGGGGTGGGTTCCTCTTCACGATCAGATCTGGTTTGTGATCAGCAGTGAGCAACCACAGTAGCACAAACCAGCCTTGGTTTCAATTTCATTTCCCTTTGGCACAAGGGGGAGTTTCTTACTCCCAGAGACTTGCCAAACCCAAACCTGAAAAACAAGCTGACAAGTTAAATAGGTTGTTTGTCTCCCATTGTCTAACACACTGAAAACACTGATCTCCCAGGGGCCTGTGTGAGAGCACACGATCTGCAGAGCCCTGGCTGAGAACGTGTCCTGCTTCAATCAAATATTTATCCACTGGACACAAAAGTACTCTCCTATGAGCAGAATTAATCCTCACAAACCTTTCCTTAGAAATGGCACGCTGGAAAGTTAATAATGTCATGGTTATTAAAATGACTGAGCTTCTCTTTAATCATTAGGCCAAAGATGCTTATTAAAGTAAAAGGTGATTAGACTGCTAGGTGCATAATAATCAGACCCTAAAATGAATTAAAGTCTAATTTGTTGATTCCCCAAATGTAATCTTTCAACATATAAAAATGTCAGTGTGCTTCTTCATGTTGAAATCCCTATAATAATGTGATAGTGTTTTCTGGAAGAAAAATCAGTAGTCTGGTCAAATAAAATATGATGACTTAAGGTTGATTTTCACAACATATTTGTGTTTACTCCTCAACCTTTGCCACCGCAGTCGACATTTCCCAGGACGATATACTAACATATGTAGTATCACCAGATTGTGTGAACATTCAGAATTTAATTAGAGAAAACATAAAGAATCTGTTTGGTCTACACAAGCACATAGATACTTGTATGCATTTACTGAGAAAGAGAAGTTTATGCTTGTTCATCCAGACACATTATAAATGCGGACACAGAGGAAGAATACCGATGTTTTCTGGGGGAAATGGAAATGAGATGGCAAAGATTATATTTAATATTATTTCTAAAGCTTCAAAAAATTCAGAACAATAACTGGAATTTGCACTATATTTAGTTATACAGGCTTTGAGATATTTGTGTGGTACTTACTTTATGCAGTTTTGCTGCTGTAGCGGTGCAGGCAGTAGTACCTGTCTGCAGATAATGCTTCAGGAGAAGCTGGACCTCAGCTGCTAAAGGAAAGGTGTGTATCTGGTGGTGAGGTTGGAGCAGGTGAGCACATAAAAGACCAAGTGATGCTGGAAGGGCATAAAGTCTTTCTCTTCCTGATCCCTGGAAATATTAAAGTATATTCTGAATTTCTATCCCCTGATCAGTCCCACTTTCTCAATTAAAAATTGAACACGTTTTTATACTTTTGTGCCATTTGATTTAGGCAGAGCACACAAATCTAAGATAGTCTCTTCCTGCCTGCAGCTGATTTAGGTATGCAAATAACCATGGGATAATAGTTGAACCTGTTGACCGAAGAGCAGTTCTCAAACATCCTGTTTTCTTGGTGAAACAAGTGCAATTATATATCCTGCTTTTCACTAGTTAAAAGTGATGATGAAGATGGAGATGTTAAGCCCACCAAAGGCCAAGTAACCCAAGGAAAAGGAAGTGATGATGGGAAGGACCCAAGAAGACCTAAACGACCAAGGACAATACTTACTACACAGCAGAGAAGAGCATTCAAAGCATCCTTTGAAGTGTCTTCCAAGCCCTGTAGAAAGGTAGGTGCTTCACCAGGGACCAAGTCAGCTCTGACTCCAGGCCACAGCCCCAGACAGCCCCTGTCCCTTCCCAAGACAGCAGCAGTTCCCTTGGGGTGAGAGCAAAGCACTCTTTTTGCACAGAACTGTTTTATGGGTAAAATAAAAACCATGAGATGACTGAGCGTCATTTTCCTCAGCTCAGACTGTCTGTTCAGGACTCATGGAACTGGTAGCGATATCAGGGGGAGAACCTGAAAAAACTGTGCAAAAATATGAGGAATTTTTAAAAGTAATTCCATACATGCAATTTTTTGTTGTAAGTACAAATGTTCATCCTAACAAAACTGATTAGTGGTTTGTTTTGGTTAACATATAAAAAATTGCTTCATTAAGCATTTCCTCCTGCAGGTCAGAGAAACACTAGCAGCTGAAACAGGGCTCAGCGTGCGAGTCGTCCAGGTCTGGTTTCAAAACCAAAGAGCAAAGGTAGGTTGTTTATCATATTCTCAAAAGTCAAATGCAGGTTATGCCTCAGCACGGGCTCTTGCCCTGGATGTAGCTCACACTGTGGAGGTCCCATGGCTGAGCTCTGCAGGTTCTGCCTTGCACCACTCTCTACGTCCACACTAGAAAGGCAACTTCCGAACACAGCCACTGTTGGTCAAAGCAGCACAGGGTTGGGAGTTAATTTTGCATGCAAATCTGAACGGGAAACTGAGATGTTTAAGCTTAGAATTGAAACTGAACCCACAGCAGTGTGTGCATGAGTATAAATGGTCTATGTTTACTGATAACAATGTTTGCAGAGAGTTTTGTAAGGAAGCAAAATTGTTGCATTCAGAACCATGAGATTGTTCTGTTCTGCTCTTTTTCAGATGAAAAAGCTGGCGCGAAGGCATCAGCAGCAGCAGGAGCAACAGAACTCGCAGCGACTAGGACAAGGTAGGGGATTTGTGATGAAGCAAAGTGAGAGGGAAGGAATCTGCAGGTGTCTGGAAGTGCCATTCCTGCACGTTGCCTTAGTACAGCCATCCAGGTGATGTGCGGGTCTGTGGGTGAGGTGTGCCATCAGCAGTGGTAGCACACAGATGGGTGCCTGAGTGCCCATGCCAAGTTACCCCAAGTTCCTTTGATGGGGCCAGAGCACAGAGGTGCTCACACAGAAGCTGTTACCTCCTTTCTGGAGAAAATGTGCCATATGGAGGCACTTCCACTGGAGGAAATCTCCGTGAGGCTTGATCCAGGTAGATCCTCCAGTTGGTTTTCTCCTGCAGTAAGGTGCACCATGCTCAGCTGGAAATCTGCAGGGGTGTCAGCATTGCTGCCCCAGGCACGGCATGGGGAGCCCCTCCCGTACCTCCACAGGTGGCTGGACCCTGGGGCAGGCACTGCACAGAGGCACCAGGGCATGCCCTGCTGCTCTATGAGTACTCTTGAGTGTCTTCAGCTCCCAAGGCCTTGCAGTCTCAAATCCTCTTCTTTACCCAGAGCCAGAAGAACTGGGACCAACAGAAGTTAGAGAATAACTAAGCTCTGTCACACACAATACAGACTTCAGGAGGATAGGGTCCAGCACCCAGGACCTCCAGAAATGATTCAGTGAGAAATTACAAGTCTTTCAACTTACTTGCTCAAGGTTCTACTCTCAGACAAAATTTGGGAAGCTCCTCTGACTGACAGGATCCCCCTACCTGTATTTGCTCAGGTTTAGTGTTGCCACTAATGCTGCCCCGGTCCCCAGCAATGACTCTACCTCTTCTTTGCTTTGCAGAAGTAATGTCCAACCGAATGGAAGGGATGATGACATCTTACACACCACTTGCACCACCACAGCAGCAGATTGTAGCAATGGAGCAAAGCAGTTATGGCACAGACCCGTTTCAGCAGGGTCTTACCCCTCCACAAATGCCAGGCGACCACATGAACCCCTATGGTAAGGCATGCCTCATTCTGCCACATCCGGAGTAGCAGGGTCTGTGTGCTGCATCACACACCACAAGGCCAGCAGCACTGCTGGCTTTTAGTATATTTTTTCTGGAATTTGTACCAGGGAATTTGTACCAGTCTGTTTTGCATGTGTAATTTCTTGTACACATAAGGAGGTAGAACAGAGCTTATCTCAAGCTCTTGACACCCTTCAAAATTATTTCACAGTATGATTCTGATAAATGGTAAAGCAAGAAACATCACCTCTCCAGCTCCACTTTTTTAAACCACTGTCCAAGACATTGAAAAATAAACAGTACCAAATTCTAGATCCCTCACAAGTTTTTCCTTTTTTCTTAGAGACTTTGAGAAAAAAGTGCCTTAAATAAAGAGAAGAAATCTATTCATTCCAAAATGAATAAGCAGCCCTGTAAAATCACGCAGATTGAATGTGTGGATTTGTAAAGAACAGTTTTTGAGCTACTAAGAGATGGGTTACCACAGGACATTTCTCCTGCGTGGTTTTATTCTCTGTCCCATATCAAGATGACGGTTTGCTTTCACGATTGCTTGACCACACATCAGAGGCATTGCAAGTACTGAATGCCCAGTAATTGATTCTGGACAATTGCAGTGTGGCATTTAAAAAGAATTTCTGATGATATTTCAGACTGTGATTCTCACACTTGCAGTAGCCCACAAGGACCTGTTTCTGACTCTTTTCTGCTGACCAGAACACTTCACTGTAGAGGCTCATTGTGCATCACTGTCACAAGCACAGCATGCACAGGCCAACAGGAAATCTGCTTTGGGTCTGTGTCAGTACTTTTGCCACTGAGACAAGTCAGTGCTGCACACCAGGAAATTTGGGAGGTCCTGTAAGGAGCTGAGGGCATACAAAGTGCCCTCAAGCATTATAGGTGACTTGTGATTTTGTTGGTTTGCTGAGTAAGTTTCTGAGTAAAACTTCTTGGGAGGCAGGTTCTGTGCTCTGAAAAGAGTGCAGAGGATGGCAGAAAGCCCTTTCAAACAAGTGTGTGAGGAAAAAGAACTGGACTAACATTTTGTTAAAGCCTCCAGCACTTGAGCTAGAGGTTTTTCTGATACCTTTGAAGTTGAAGTAAGCTGAAATCTTAGTTGCTAAGGGAAATAAAAGGTGCTGTTCCAAACTAGCCCTGAAAGAGTGGAATTTTCTGAAAGGAGAGCACATTTACGATTGTAGGTCGCTTGAGGCCAGGGAAGCTGGGTCTCCTCCTGGGTCCTGTCACATTGGTAGAACTGGTTTTTGCCTTGTGTGTAAATGAAGACCACTATGACTATGGCTCTTAGACCATGCTTCCCTGTCATGGGCACTTGATATCTGGTCCCACCTTCCTCAGCAGCCCTGGTGCCCTCAGGAGTGCCAGATCCCAGCCCTTGGAGAGCTGGGCACCTGCTCCTCCCCAGCACTGTTTGCTCTCGTTGTCAGCCGAGACTACCTTTTGTGCTGCTGACTGAAGCCTTAATTAAATCCTGGCAGGTTTGGGGGGCACTGCTGCCAGCTGGCCCCCATGGATTGGCTTTTAGTCCCCATCATCATAGGTCAGACCCTTAGAGCCAAAGTACATGTGATAAGGTTAACATGTGATAAGAGAACCAGGAGCGTTCCCAGTTGCTGCAGCTGCAGCTTGTGAGCACCCGTGAGTACTGTGTCCTCCCCTGGCTGCACAGCATCAGCTTAACATGTACGTTTCATTTGCAGGAAATGACTCCATTTTTCATGATATCGACAGTGATACCTCTTTAACTAGCTTGAGCGACTGTTTTCTTGCCTCTTCTGAAGTTAACTCCATGCAGGCTAGAGTAGGAAACCCCATTGACAGGCTGTACTCTATGCAGAGCTCCTATTTCGCCTCATGAAAATAAGAAAACAAACAGCCGGCGTGTGTTTAGCCAGTGACTTTTCCAGTGCAGACTCTACAGCCATATGTTGCCCAGCTCTTCCTTCACAGTGACTCTGCTGCCTCTGGACTGCAAAGAGCATTTTTTTAGGAAGACTGTCTCTGTTTGCATATATGTGTATGTATGTATATATACTTTAATACCTACCTACCTACATACATATATAGAGAAACAAAACACATCCACCCGTCCCATACCCTTGATTCCCAGCCTGCACCAGACCACGAGACAAGCACGGAAGGAACAGAAGAACCTGCTCGTCCTCAGCCTTTGATTTGGTTTGGTTTGAGCTCGTCATCTTAAAGGAAATGGATTTTGTGGAAAGCTAGACCTTTTCCTCCTTTCTCTCTTCCTTTCTTTTGGATGTTTAAACTTTTTTTTTTTTTTTAAAGCCGCTGATACTGACATCAGTTGACCATATGACAAATAAATCAAAGAAACTGGAGATTCCTCCCTTTTCTTACTGCATGATTCATACTATGTTGTGGATAAATTGCCATTTGAACTGTGAGAAGTTAATGTAAATGTGATGTTCAACATTTGTTTCCTTTCTACACTTTTTCTACATAACCTAGATCTGCTCATTAGTTTATAGCCCTTATGCATATGATACTGAGGAAACTGGTTAACAGTATTTGTGGAGAAAGCCAGTGATTTCAGAATAAGAAAGGTCTATGACTCTGGAAAGGACATGCATGTTAGGGACAGAGACATTTAGGTTAGCATTGATCTTAAATAATTAAAACTAAGGGTGCTTACGAGACAGTTTTATTTAATTTTTTTTTTAAGTGTGAGATTAAAACATTTACATTTGTTTGTAAGTTTTGCAGTGCCAAATTTCAAGCCTAGACCACAACTGGCAAACAAGTGTTTGTTCCTTCTGTTCTGTTTATTTATGTTTTGCATGAGGCATAAATATACTGTGCTCTATTGTCCATCTGGAATAATTAAGCACTCCTTTAGTTAATTATCTTGCCTCAGCAAGAATCGAGGATACACAGTTCTAGCCTGAAACACCAGAAGTCCTGAAATGTGCACCAGCTGCGAACAGGAAAGTATGAAAGAGCTCACGCTGGGAAGTTCAGGTATGTTGAGCTGGAGTCTGACCAAGTCCTGCAGATCCTCCTGCTGCCGGGACTCCTGGCTGTGGCTCCAATCACCCGGGCAGTGCCAGCGCCAGAAGAACAGGTATGCTGAAGGAAGGGGATGTCCCAGCTGAAGTCTGATTGTCTCTGATGTTGAAGTTTGAGCATATGTCATATAGATTTTTGTAGGGCATAAAATATCATAAATAATAATAGTATAGCTATAAATATTGCCTGGTGATAATTATAATGTGGAGAGGCAGACAAGTACAGTCATGGCTCTCAGTGGAGAAAACTTCATGGGGAAAATTTGCCAGGGTAATATCAGTAATTATAGGGTGTGTTCAAAATAGAGCTCACGGGGAAAGATTGGCAGGATAGGCACTTTCTTAAATAAATACCTTTAATATATTGACCATAATAGCTGAAAAACAAGTCCAAAGCTCTGGTTAATCTAACTCCTCCAGGCTGAGGACTGGTACCAGGCCAGCGCTGCAGTGTCCCTGTGGGGCTCAGCACCTTCTCCGGGAGCGTGGGACTCTGGGACTGCCTTGGAGGGGGAGACCAGAGCAGGACTCCTGCAGCCTTGGCACCCAGGGTGGGAGGAGCGTTGCTGGGGGCACTGTGTCCTCGACCTTAGGGGGGTGATCCTGCTGGGAACCCCACATCACTGATGGAGACAGGTCCTCCAGGTGTCCCGGAGGCGTGGGTAGGAAGGTAGGATGATGGGTCCAAGGGAAAACATGAGATCGTTTTCCGATGGCAGGGTAATGTGTACCGAGTATGTTGGAGGTTTCTTGAGAAAGTCAAGTTTTATCTGCAGGATAAGCACACAGGTTCTCACTCCGGAGAGAAGGACAACACCGTGGAGGAGGCTCTGTGTGTGTGTGGTGCAGGGGCGCAGAGCACAGCCCAAGGCCAGCCCTTCCGCTGCCTGCCACACACAGCCTTGCTCAGGGAAGGGACTGGTGGCTCTGTGAGGGTGCTGGGGATGCTCCTGTCCCTGTCTCTGCAGGTTTCCATTGCTGTTTTCCCCAGGGAGGTGGTCCATCACATCCATATGCTTTGTCTAGCGACCATTCCCTGCTTTCTGGCAGGGATGTGGTTTTCACTTGAGGGTTGTGAGCCCCTCAATGTATTTTGAAATTGAAAGAATCTTCTTTTCTTGCCCATCCCGCTCAATTATTTTTCCCTTTCCCCGTGTATCAAAATAAACAACAATTTCCTTTCTCTCTGCATGATAGCAAACATCTAAAAAACTCAGGTGATCCTCACTGTTTGCAGGGCAGAAGGCAAGCAGGTTTCATATGGCACATATAAAGATTTGTCACCACCAATCTCAATGGATTCATCATTTCCCTCCTCACCCCTCTGCTGTGCTACTTTAGAGTCACAGAAAATGTCTTCACCCTCTCAGACATACCAGTTTATAGACTACTCACACAGGCACAACCTTGCTTCATATTTCATTACTGGCAGGCTGAAAATGGCATTTTTAGTGTTTACAGGGACTTGTATGAGAACTCTAATGTGACCTACAGTTTGGAGAACTGCCTTGTCCCAACTCTACCTCTGTGTCTGGGTTGGATGTTGAAAAAACAATCCATCTCCAAGGAAAAAATCAGATATCCCATTTTATAGATGAAGTAACCACATCATAATTTGCTGATTTTGGATGACTTGGACGACTGTTTGCCACCTTTTCTTTTTCCTTTTCATTTCTTGTACATACCATCTCCTTTCCCTTGGTGTGTTGTATGGTGATGCCTTAGCTGTTTGTTGCCCCATGTTCTGCCACATTTGGAGCCACACACACAGCACAGTCAGGCCCTTGGCATGTGTAACATTTTCCGTGCCATGGTGGGCTGCTGCTGGTCCAGGGAAGGAATGCATAGCCAAGGATTTCCAGTGGGCCTGTTATAGCTGGCAAAGGCCAAAGTTCATTAAAGCAAAATAAATGTCACTTTCTTTTTGTAGAATAAATTACTCTACTGGAGTGTGATCATTGTGGTTTTAACCTGGGACCTGCAGTAAAAGATTATACAGCAACCTCTGACCTTTTTGATTTCTGCTTTACTCTTCTATTGTCAAGGGAATGTCCCCAATCAGGTGAAAGTAAAATGTTTAATGGGCCATATCACAGTAATATCTTACATTGAGTCAAATTGATAAACTCTAGCCAAAAAATTCTTAGCATCTGGCACTTCCACGAAAACCACAAACAATGATTGCACATATGGGAGCTCGAAGGCTAGAGGTCATGACAGCAGTTTATTATGTGCACCTTACAGTGATCATTTTCCCTAGGAAATTAACCCCTCTCTAATACAAATGCATCAAGTGAACTCTTCATGGCGTTTCAATCATGTTGTTTTAGCTAATCAAAGAATACGTGTGCAGCTAAAGTGGTGACAAGATGCAATTAAGTAAAAGATGATTGATTAGGTTTCAGTGTTTGCTCAATAATACATAAAAAAGATGATCGTGAGATCAGAATGCTGGGTACCAACTTAGAGGTCCTTACTGTGCAGCTGCAGGTCTGTGATGGTGGCAGACAGATTGTTCCCAGCATTCAGGAGGGGTTACTGAGCTGTGTGGTCCTGGGTCCCAACCAGGCTCGGGGCTGAGCAGCAGCACCTTCTCTGGCATGGCTGGCTGTGGAGGGGATGATTCCCACTGTGCACTGCTGTTCTCAGGCCCCCATTACCACCACGCTGTGGGACAAACCCTGAGGCTGGTGGCAAATGTGTTTAACAGTCATGACATGGAACACAATTATGTCACTGTAAGTAAAGGGTGGTGCAACAACTTATACTGAAACACCATCCTGGGCATTTTGAACTCCTTTTCTTCTTTAAACTCTGTCATCAAAAACATCCAGATGACGTGGCCCAGTTGCAGCTAACAATGAGGTGAGGCTCACGTTAGCTGAGTGGATTTTTCAGACCCATCCTGCAGAAAATGGATGAGCATCACCAGGTCCTTTGAAGGGCCATGGCTCAGCCACCTCACTGTACATCATGGCATGGGGAAGGTCCTTCATGACAGCAAACCTTCCAGGGATGATGTGAACTCACTTACCTCTTCCTACTGAGCTCAGGACTCCTTTCCACTTTCCTTAAGAGTCAGAAGTATATCCCAAGCCACCACCCCAGGTGCCCCAGGGAGGGCAGCTCTGGGATGCTGCTGAGATGCTGTGAGCTAGGGTTTGCAAGAGCACTTCCATGAACCCTGTCATAAGAACTCTGGTTATTCCTGAAGGTCACTAGAAATGAACAGTAGAATTGTGAGGAAGGGAAGGTTTCTCACAAGCCTGGAGCTTAGTCACAGCAGTGAAAGGACAGAGCCTGCTGAAGCACGACACGACTGTGGGAGCTGGAGCCACAGTACCCAGAGTCTCAGTGCTCCAGATCATGCTTTACACAACCCCATGCCCAAACCACCTCACTCATTTCTGACCAGCAGCTGCTCCCTGTGCATTCAGGTTCCTCCCCAGCCCCTCTTCTTTAGCCTGGGGGCACAGGGAAGCCATAGCCAGAGCTTTGGGCACCTGTGCTCCTTGATTAGGGAGATACTTGGTCACAAGAGACACATGAAGTCTTTTGGCTTTGGTGGGCGTTCAGCATGGTCTTGCTCCTCTGAGGCTGATCTGACTGCACTGACGGCTGCAGCCAGGTCCCCTTGGCTCAGTGCACCCTGGTTCTGCTCAGCAGCAGCTGTGAAGGGGCTGCAGATACCTTGCATTGGGAACTCTGTTTTTAAGTGAACACCCTATTTTTTAGCTGTGTATGGCTGTATTACTTGTATATTTATATATTCTGTATTTATGTTATCGAAATGTAGTATTTTGTAGCTGTCTGTTACAATTTGTTTAACTTGTAAAAAATATGACTATGCTCTCTCATATTTAACCAGCTCCTTTCACTGTAGATTCGCTGCTCCTTTCCCTCTGTGTTGGAAACAAACCACCATAATGTATGTAGATTGGAATTTTTTTTAATTTAATTATTTGTCGTTATTAAATTATTTATTAGTGTTTTTAAATTTCATTTCACTGCATTTTTTTTCCTGCCACCATTGCCTGGAGCTAAGATCCATGAGTTTCTCACACACTGTGTTCCTTCCCACGTGCATGTGCACGTGCACACACACACATACACACACTAAACAAAAGCAGAAAAAGAAAAAAAAGAGAGAGGTTACACTTCGGTATATTTGTAAATAAAAGCAACCTGTAAACTAAGCGGGCTTTTCTCTCAGTGTGAAGTTTTTTCTTTGCTTTCTCAGACTGAGAGCGTGTTCTCTGTGTCCTGGGGCTGGCACAAGTGTTCTCACAGGCGGGAGAGCCCAGGCACGGGGATGGCTGAGTGCTGCCTTGATGGTTTTACTGGTGTGGGACTGGAGCCCAGGCTGCCCAGGGGAAGGACACAGCAAGGGCAATGGCTGTATTCACACTGGTCTTTGGCCTCTGCAAGTTGAGAGCTGTTCTGTGTGGATGGGGACAGAGTCCTCCAGCCAGCCGTGATGGAGACAGGGAGCCAACCCAAACAGCCAGCCCTGACAGAGGAGCTGCACTGGGGTGATTTCAGAGACCCAGTGGGATCTTTCCTGTCCAAAGCACATGCAAGGGGAGCCCAATGCTAGAGC